TAGTTTTTCTTATTGAGCATGCGCAAAATCATGTTTACGTCATCGTATTCAAAAATTTGCGGATACGGCCGTCCACACGTATCCGTATTCAGAGCGTATTTGAAAATTTCCACTCTAGAGACCGTTTTCGAAAAATTTCCGGATAGGGATACAAAAATTTCCGGACATGGGTGGACGCAACCCGTATCCGCAAAAAGAAATTTGCGGATACAAAAATTTCCGGATAGGTGTGGACGGGGCCTTAAAACCATAGCAATCAAACATAATTGCGTTGCCAGTGTTGTAAATTGAAGTGTTTAAAAACTACCTACTTGCAATATGAGTAAGGGATTTCTACCTACTTGCAATATGAGTAAGGGATTTCTTCACTTTCTTCTTCGATGTCTTCGTTTTCATAGCTGCTGCTTTCTTCAAACCTTCTAATGATACTTTGTATCTGCAGAATCTTCATCAAGCAATCATATATTAATAAGCCTGAAGCGAGATGACGTTTTACCCCCGTCTCTAGACCATAATCCTTTTCACACTGCTTTTGTTCTTTAATTATGACTGTTGTTCCCGTATTCTCTAAGGAATCAAAAATTTTAATATGAAAGAAATTTAAAAACTATTATGGTATAGAGTCGGGGGTAAAACATCATCTCGCTTCAGGCTTATTGGTGTCAGATAAATTCATGATTTATAAAATAAAACGAAATGCAAACGAAAAGTCTGATTTTGCATGAAGAAATAAACCAAATCAACTTGGACATGTTTATCCATTTCAAACCATGTGCCATTTTCTTGAGAATAGGATTCTTTGTATGAATTGTATCCATATAAAATAAAATAAGTAAAATAAATAAATAAATCACTTTTATTTGAGCGTCTAGTTGTTCTAGTGCTTCCGCACTAATTGCGGACACTTTTCGGTCACACGCACTACCACTACATTTAATATTCTACGCACACAACGCTCAACTCACGTTTATTTTTAGGGAGGGAGAAAACCGGAAAACCCGGAGAAGACCCTTGTAGCATAGGAGAGAACAACACATCAAACAAACTAAATTCACTTGTGGTGACCTCAGGGCTCGAACCAGCGACCTGACCCGTTGGACTCACAGCAGTGAAAGACGATCCGTTAGCCGCGAGCGACACCCATGCTACCCATGTTCATGTGTCTTCTTATGTTCAACCATTAAACAAAGAAATAATACTCTAGGGAATGACATGGTCTGAAATAGGAAAGCATTATACTCAAGTAGATTTGGTCCATCACTATGATTGTAGACGTTGTTGATTTTTATTTGTAATGTTTAAGAATTAAGAGGCATGGTTTGAATTCATTAAAAAATATATATATATTTACCTCTTCGCTTTCTATATTCCAAAAAACAACAGCACCAAGCCATCTATGAAATAAAATATATCATGATCTATTCATTTAAGTTGATAAAGGTGGTCACAGTCGTTGTTTTCTGAAATAAAGCAATAGATTCATTCTGGCATAGCTTCTATGATGTAACCACCTAGAGAAGGCCATTCTAGCAGTACAATGATGCTAGAATGATCGACAATCAACTACAGCCTGAATGTTATAGATAACAGTCAATCATTATCATCGCTGCAATCAATTATCATACTAAATACAGTAATATTAGAGAAATTTAAGAGTAAAGTAGTTCGTGCCTACCTGAAAAAGAATATGTCCCCGGTACTTGTACCATTTTGGTCTTTCTTTGTTGTACAGACATGTAAAACATCCCTGGCATCTTTGAATTTTAAAAATTATCATTAGGGAGTATTTTATTATTTTATATTTAGTATAAACCTACCAATGGTCAATCACAAATCCTGTGCTCTTATTGGCTGAGCTACTAGTGGTGTATTAGTGGTCTATCGTTTATTACGTCATAGGGGGATGGTGATTTTAGAGTAGGTATGTTTTTGAAAAAATGTAATTTGAGGGGGTAAACTTTGTTTTTGAGGAATAAAAAAGGGGTTAAACTTCAGAATAAAAAAATTAAACTAAATGATGCTGAAGATGGGGGTACATTTTTTATGGAAAGATAGTGTAAGGGGGTACAAATTTTACTTAATTTTTTCCCCACAAACCCATCAACCCCCTCCCCTCCCCCCTACAACGTAATAAACGACCTGTCCCATATTTCACCAATTAGTAAGCTTATACTAAAACAATCAGAATTCAGCTTTAATGGTTTATTCAGCCTTCGACCTCAAGGGCCATTGACTTATAGACCATGAGGGCCAGAGATATAATTGTTCATTGTGTTGTTCCAGAAATTATTATTCATATCCCCCTCATGGAGGATTCTTTTAAAGACCCCCCTTACCACTGGAAATTTCAATTTTCTTCCATACAATCTGTGTAMKTTTTGTTCTTTCTCTGACCCCCTACCCTTCGGGAAATTACAAATTCCTCTGTGGGGTGGATATTTATAATTTCTGGAACTACACATTAGACTTACTTGAAAAGCCCTTACTGAAATGTATATTTTTTGTGTAGTTCTAGAAAATATCTGTACCCACCCATGGAGGAAATTGGAAATACTGGAGGGGATTGGGGTCAAATAAATAATAAAATTACAGAATTTGTATGAAAGAAAATTAGAAGTTCCTGAGGGTAGGGGGGTCTTTTTACAAATTCCCTCCATGGTGGGGGTATTTTCTGGAACTACTGTACACATTCCTTATTAATCCACCACTTCTCACCTTTTGGTAAAGCTGTTATTGTATATTTATCTTTTAACGCATATATAGAATCACGTAATCCAAGTAAATGATATCTCTCACCAGTAGAGTATGTTAAACACAATAAATCATCCTGAAATTCATCCAGAAATGACACATTATCAATTCAACATTTATGATATGACCACGAAACAAACTGTCAAATTTATTGATTTTATGAAACAACCTCTTGGCTGATCTAAGTCAGGTCTTACTCACAGATCAAACCTTGAAACAACCTCTTGGCTGATCTAAGTCAGGTCTTACTCACAGATCAAACCCTGAAACAACCTCTTGGCTGATCTAAGTCAGAGCATATCTATCCCACAAATCAAATTTAAATTTTGCTTGCTGGTCGTTGTGAAGGAGAAAAACCAGAAAATATTAAGAAAAGCCCTCTACTCGAGGAAGAGACTTAATATACTCTATGCACATGTGAGGGCATGTCCAGGAATTGAACCCAAACCCCAGAAGTGAGACGTGAGTGTTATGCGACATTGATTCATTGATAAAAACAACAAGCCTTTCCTTAAGGTGCAGTAATACTGGTAATACAATTGTAAAACAATACGACTTATTGTGCAACACTTTTAAATTGCAAGTTGCAGAGCAAATGTTTCTCACATTCTGAGCTTCTTTGTTGCAAAGAGTAGAGAGCTTCCACTTTTTGCAACAAAGAAAATATATTGTGCACATAGTGATGATACCAGCAGTGTTTGCTCTGCAACATGCAACTCAACAAATAATTACTTGTTTCATACAATTTTGTCGCCTGTGTATTACTTCCAATCTCTCCTTACTTTACACCTTCTACAATCCATACCTGCTCTTTTTCTGGAGGATGTTCTTTAGAAAGTGACTTTATTCTTGGACGAATCTTTACAGAAGGTTCCTTTGTTTCTTTGGATTTACTTATAGATTTACTTAGAGTAGAAAGACGACTTGCAAACCGTGTGCTCACACATACGAATTTCTGAAACACACAAAAAAACGCACATCTAAACAAAAAATCCAATTTTGGGAAATTAAATGATTTTCTGTTACCTTATTTAAACATGCTGTGCATAAAATGTTTTCTGTGCGAACGAACGCTGTAAAAAATGAAGATTTAAAAGTTTTCGAACATTTAAAAAATTTGTCCGCCATTTTGGGTTTTGTTTTTAAAATGCTTACCGCTGATTTAATTTCGGGCTCAATTACTCTTCGAAATATTGGGCTTCCTGTGTATGGGAGGTGTGCCGAGGGTATGTACATGTGTGGTGACGTAAAAGCGAAAGATTATATAAAAAAAAACTTTTTTATAACGTTTTGAAACAAGTATTGTATTATTCTTTACATACCCAATTATTTTAAGATGTCTTCAGCAGAATTAGATGTCTTGTATTGTACGGCGTTTCATTTTCTTTTTTTTTTTAAGTTAAAAAAAAAAACGAAAAATATTTATTAAGGACTAAACTGCATTGTATTAGAAGAGCAATAATTATTCCTTGATGTTCAAAGAAAGAGAAGAAAAAAATTATTCGGTTTTTTACCGGGATAAGAAAGATTGACAAGATTACGAGTGCATGTTATGTGGCACGACTGCACGTCAGGTTTTGATTGGTTGATAAGATGAAAGACGTAATTTTAAACCAATCAGCATTCATTATGACAAGTCCTCCATGTTTCTTCAACGTCAGGACGAGCGACCTTCGTTCTCTCTGCTTTTCCGAAAGGTACTGGTGACTTTGTGCTCCCGAAAAATCATCAAAAATGGACGCTCCTCTTACTCCTGAGCTCAAAGCCGAGCTGAAAAGGATTGCCGAGGCTATTGTAGCTCCTGGTAAAGGGCTTCTTGCTGCTGATGAAAGCACTGGTACCATGGGAAAGCGTCTTGCAAACATCGGTGTCGAGAATACTGAAGAAAACCGTCGTCAGTACCGTCAGCTTTTGTTCACTAGTGGCGCTGAAATGCGTAATTCGATCAGTGGTGTTATTCTCTTCGAGGAAACCTTGTACCAGAAAGCAGACGATGGAACTCCATTCGTGAAGATCATCAAAGACCAAGGAATCATCCCTGGAATCAAAGTTGACAAAGGAGTAGTCCCGCTGGCTGGAACACAAGGAGAAGGCACAACTCAAGGTCTTGATGGCCTGTCTCAGAGATGTGAGCAGTACAAAAAAGACGGCTGTGACTTCGCTAAATGGCGTTGTGTGCTTAAAATCACTGACCATACCCCCTCGGAACTAGCCATGAAGGAGAATGCCAATGTTCTTGCTCGCTATGCAACTATTTGTCAACAGAATGGAATCGTCCCCATAGTAGAGCCTGAAGTCCTCTGTGATGGAGATCATTCCTTGGAACGTGCACAGAAAGTCACAGAGGCGGTTCTTTCTGCACAATACAAGGCTCTGGTAGATCATCATGTTTATCTTGAAGGAACTTTACTGAAGCCTAACATGGTAACTCCAGGTACGAAAGTAAATGGTATTTCTTGTTTTCTTTTTGGTGTGTTTGCAGAGGGTGTTGGAGGTTTTTAGTCTTGACAGCTAAATATGACAGTCAATTTAGGAATTGACCTTTAACTTTCGTGAATGTTTTTAGTTCAGATAGAAAGCATGGGAGCTGATTGTACAAATTTTAAATGGAAATTTGTACTATCTCTTCTCCTTTATCAACCAACTATCACAGATTTTCTCTGTGGCTACAAATGCATAAATATTTCGAATCTTTTTACCAGTTCAGTGTTATAAATTTTCTAATATTTAAGCTAGCTTAGGTTTTCTGGATGAGTATTATCTTTGTAAAGTTGATTACGAAATGTACAATCAACTTAAAATGAATTAGTGGTTTTAAACCATTCCCAAGAGAATCAAAAGATAAAGACATGGCGGCCATGCTGGTGGACAGGTACAAACGGACTTAATGAGAAATCTTTTGTTAAAGTCCATGAGATGACATTAACATGAAAGTGAAGGATACTTTAGACACATGAGCCTATAGCATAGGTGAATTTTAAGTGACTGCTTTGCTATGGCAACAAAAATACCTTTCCCTCTCCTTCCCAATGATTACCTAATTTTGTACATGAAAATATTTTTCAAATTTTTATTTAGGTCAAAGTTGTCCCCAAAAAAGCACTCCAGAACAATGTGGTAAGGCTACTGTAGAGGCCTTGCAGAGGACTGTACCAGCTGCTGTACCAGGAATTACATTTTTATCAGGAGGACAGTCTGAGGAACAGGCCTCTATCCACCTTAATGCAATCAATCAGTACCCTGGTAAGATATTTGTTCTCCAATTTTTTAAAATTAAACCTTAAAAATTTGTGGGAAGCATAAGTGGCTTAGTGGTTGGAGTATTCGCCTTTTACCAATGCAACCCAAGTTCGATTTTGATCCTCAGACTTGCCATATGGGAGTAGAGTTTGTTTATTGGTTGTTCTTCTAAATTGTAATTCGATCTATTACATACATATATTTTATTTACAGGCCAGCAGGTCTGGAAAAAGAAAAACTGTGACCAAGGTCTTGAATACACAGAACAAGGCTGTCAGGCTGAGGTCCGTTTTCAAGACAGAGGGCACAGTTTTTCATGACTGACTTTAGGATAGTAAATAATATATTTATTTATTTATTCTGTAATCGTTGTTGAGCAGTCCCAGGATACCGGACTGCGACTGCAGGCAGATACTGAGAAAATACCACCTGCTCAAATAGGCAATCAGAACACACCATCTTTTATGATGTCCGACCAGAAAAATTAATGTTTATTTTTGAGTGGGTGACAGGCAAGTGAAGTAAATTGATACTGGCTATACATTTGAAATCCACACTGATTAGCCATTTCAAGGTTGATAAAAAACCTGGGTAGAGTTGGCATTGCACAGCTTTGTGGGATTGTATTAGGGGATGCATTAATGAATTAATCTTGGAAATATGTTCTTAAAACATTCTCCCAATGCTCTGTAATGGCATCTTGACCCAGTTTTTCCTCAATCTTGGAATGGATTAATACATTGTTAATTCCAAATGTACAACTAGTATTATTTACTTAACTTGATTTTTTTCTGCATTTGGTTTTGTTGCAAAACAAAAATGTATGATGGCTCGCAATGAATAGTTGACAACCTTGTATCTTTACCAACAGGTAAAAAGCCATGGAAGTTGACTTTTTCTTTTGGCCGAGCCCTTCAGGCCAGTGCCCTAAAGGCATGGAGCGGCAAGAAAGAAAATGTCAAGGCAGGTCAGAAAGAGTTCTTGAAGCGTGCCAAGGCTAATGGAGAGGCTGCAAAAGGAGAGTACAAAGGAGAGGCAAGTCTTGCTGGAGATCAGAGCTTGTTCGTTGCCAACCATCAGTACTAATTAACACTGTCAAGAAGAAAACATAGCCTTAGATGACTGTCTTGTACAGCTGAATTACTGTAGCCCGTTTTGGATCCATGCTTATATTCTATACTGCTGCCTGTAATGCATGTTGACAATGCCCCTTTGAATGCAAATTCAAGATTCTCTTAATAATTATTAATGTTGGAGGTTTATAATTTTCTATAAGATATAATATTTAATGTAAGCTAGGTTCTGCTCTATGAAATAGAGATTCAAGTCTCTCTGGATAGGGAAAGTTATGGGGTACAAGTAAAGACCTTGTGTTTTTGAAACTCGTGTTGGATGAATTCCTTGGCAAAACCTATTAAATTTTCATTATAGAAATAAACGTAGTTGAAACTGTGCAGATGTTCAGTGTCCTGTTTGGTGGGTCTGTTTGTGTTGATCACCCTTTGAAGAATATGAACCAACATTGCCTGGTTACAGCCATGAAGTGTCTTCTGCATAGAGTATATACTTATTTCAATAAAGTTAGTCACCAAAAACCTAGAAAGCTGTGATCGCTGAGAACAATGGGAAATATTTTATATCTAACAAGTAAAGCTTTCAACACAAACTGCAACAGTTGAGGATGCTCAGATGAGGTGAACTTATTACTGGTAGAAGATCTCGTGTCCATCAACAGTTATCAAGCGTTTGAAACGTAAAATGTATCTACCCATAATCCTTTGCTGGTCTCGGCTGTGTAGCTTTTCAGGTGTGACTAACTTTATTGAAATAAGTGTATACACATCCTTGGTTTTCCTACTAATGCATGCAGTTACTGTCTTGTGATATGTGAATGCTTATCAGCTGAATTAAAATAGAATCCTGGCTGATAGCACATGGTGGGTGGTTGGTTTTTGACTACCATTTGGAGCAGATAATGAGATTTTAAGACTTTTTATTGGCTTATTGAAACCCAGCAAATAAAGTTCTGCACTTGACGCAATGCATAACTAATTTCTTAAAACATCATTTTAGACAAAATGACAGACTTAAGAAATTCACCCCTGCTTCCTGCCTTTTCTAAGTTTAAATTTAAAAATGCATTGTGGTCTAGATTGGGTACAACCAAGGCCTTGTAAGGTAAGATGTACAAGACACCCAAGCTAGATCACAATTGCACCATCTTTTGCTATTGAAAAAGGACTTCAACTTCATATATCTGATAGTCTGAATGCATATAGGTTTTCTTATACTGACATAAGATAAAACCTGAATCAAAAACAATCAGTTCAACTTTGTTATTCACTTTAATTGTTTATAAAACTTGGCTATAAACTATTTAAAATCACAAAACTATTTAGGATTTCTGTTTGCAATTTGACAATTTTGTTGGTCATGCATTAGTTATTGGCTCTGCTTCATGCAGAGAAATATTCTATTGATAAAACTTTGTTTACTGGAAAACCACCTTGATCTTAATATCAGTAGCTTTTCACTTCAAATCTTCAAGCGTGAAAGATTGATCTATTAAGCAAATGTTTTGCCATTGTGACCAATTTCAAATCTATCTTTTGTGTGGAAGACAAGGTGCATCCTGGAAAGGAAGAACATGACACAGATATGTTTAATGAAGAAATAGAAAACGTGCCCACATAATGTGTGCAGTCATAAAGCACAATGGGATTGGCAAAACACGAGAGAATTGTTAGGAGAAGCACAATGCATAGCAGAAGTTTTTGGAATGGGTACTTCAGATTTTTAAGCACCATACTCAGACAAATCTGGATATGCTCATAGTACTTGGTCCTTGAATCCCATACAAATAATGTGAGGCTATGAGAACAGACATATTATTAGACATACATATGATAATGAATAAATCCCATCTGGAACTCAGAATTTTTCTGTGTTCTTATGCTTTCACTTCTCGTTATTCATTGATTCATTATCAACGTGAGACTAAGTGTAATATACCTGTCCTGTGGGACACCAAGCTGTTTCACTAGATGTTCTGTCAACATCTCTGTGTACTTCTTGGTTGTTTCTGCATCATGTCGGCCAATGTTGGTCAACTGAACAATAGCAGTTGGTTCAGACGTTCCTGCCCACGTCATTAGCTGCCCAGGCTCAATGCATACACATATGAACTGAATGTTGAATACAGAATATATGATTTTAAAATAATAATAAATCACAATCAGGCCCTCCACCTGGGGTGATTCAATGGTTCAAACAAACCCTCCCTCTCCACCTTTGTAGGAATGTGTAATGCTATTTCAGTCTTAAAAGGCATAATTAAGATTGGTAGGAAAACAAACCTCCCTCTAGCAATGGGCCAGACAGATTGTATCATCGTGTACAGGAATTGTCAGGGGAATTCTATTCAAATTCAAATTTCGAGTAATCGGCTAGTAGTCATACCCTATGATAGCATAAATTAAACTATAATAAATATTTATGTGCACATGTTGATGATACATCGTTTAAATATGACTAAAAAATGAGACCACCCAACTGAATTCACTTCGTGGTCTAGTGGTTAGGTTTAGGGTAGGGGTTGGGGTTGGCATTGTAGTAGTTCTTTGGTGCCGAAGGTACCGAGTTCAATTTTTGGTGTCTTCACTTAATTTTTTTTCTAAATGAGGAGAACCAAAATTTCTAAGTCCCACTCGTGTGTTTGGAAACCTATGACGTACTTCATTAATCCGTACATGACGATAGTACCGCCAGACACAGAGGTGCACATTCTTTATACATCATCTTCATCAGTACATATGTACTTTATGTCTTCGTTGGAGCCTATTTGACTATTTCAATGAACTTTGATTGTGGCTTAGAAACACTGAGCCCCCTCTCAAAATATATTTTTATCATGACCCACCCCTTGTCAACTAGAAAAATACCCCCCCCCCTGATTTCTCCCTCCCCC